CTGGCTATAATTCCAGACGCAAACCTATTTGTTTAGACAAACACAACGTAACAAATAACTGATGCGTTTCGTACAACTTTGACATCTAGTGGTGTTAATACAGATTACAAGTACAACCACAAGAGCAAAGCCGTATTACCGGTAAACGACCAAAGTCTCAATAGATTGGTTGGCAGGAGTTACGCAGTCCAACCCATTCGTGCACAGAGACTGGACAGTGGGAACCTCTTCCCTCAAGGTGTCCCGGGAGATTTAAAACCCCGGGAAACCGAGAAAATAATATACATTTTGGTTATAAACATTAGGTCTACGTTAAAAGATGGATAGTATACATGACGACTACTGTGATAACTATAAGTCACGAGAAGAGACCTACTACCTCGGCAAAGGTTAAATTTTAGACTCAAATAGTGCGACGTCGTATCTGTGAAGAACTAGAGGTTTGACGAAAACTTGTCATTCTTTTGGTTTCGTTACGAAAAACGAGAGGGTTTAGTCCGCAGAGGAGCAACGGGAGGAGGTAACTGTTGGGAACCTACCGCAGAGACAACTCAAACAAGACTATGGATGTTTATAGAAACGCGGAAAACAACCTGTCATTACGCACTTGAAGTTTGTGGTATAGCTGTCGAAAGATTAGTTTCTTTAACTTTAAGTTGAGAACCGAAGGAATCGTCTGAATTTACAACAAAAAAGTTTGAAGTAGGGCATTTTAGACCAGAGGACCGAATAAGGACAAGGGTTGACCTGATACCACTGTGGTAAATAATCCTAAACGGACAGGGTGACAGAACCGGTTTGGAACCTGCGGGTACGATGGTACGACGTGACGCAATATATAGTTCTACGTGGGATATCCTGAGTAGTACGTGTGACATATCGGATTGGACCTACCAGCGAGTTGAGGTGATACGCATCCTACGTCGTAAGCCAAAAATGAATTACATATTTCGATAAAATCCTTTCGAAGGGTGAGATCGTATACACGGGCTAAAACGAGGTCAAACACTGAAAATGTTGAGTCTAGGTCACGGACCTATCCGCCAAAGGTCCAAGGACCGACACGCTTGACTCTCCGACCTTTTCCTCACGAGAAAATAAAACCAGGGAAGCCAGAACCTTACTGGAAGTTTAGTGCGGAGTTTTCACTTGCCGTGACAAGACGTTACGGGTACTCAAAATTTAACTTCCAACAGACTTCTTGGTGGGTCGACGACGTCATTATTCATCCACGGAAAGAATGACACGGATTACACGTTGTGTGACATCACTGACGCCGAAAAAAGTAGAAAAACAGAAAGAATCAATACAAGAGACATAAAATATACAAACACAATACAAACTTGCAAGACGCGAAGAACCGCGTCCAAGTCGGCGCGTAACATTACTCTAAAATAGAGTTTACGAAAGATAGACCAATTTTATTTCTTTATATATCGTATGGATAATATCACCGATTTTACGACCCGATTTAGACGATTCGTCGACTCAGGAAACGCTCATAAACATTTTGGGCTTCGTCTTACAAAAAACCTTCGTATAGGTCTAATTCGATGCAAACCTGTATGTCATGAATAGGACTCTTTTTTGTCAGTTTCTAGTCTCCCATTGTTACTACGTCTCTCTTCAGTTTTGTGTGTCTTCGGCTTGTGATATGATTTAATAGAGATTTGTAAAAGCGGTTCAGTTGTGCGTTGTTAGATTTTATATGATGATTTCTTTAGTTAAGTTCTCTACAAAATTTTACATCAAATCGTCGTATACGATGGTCCAATGTCACTCCTTTGCCAGAGACTGTCCGACACATACAAGCTCTATAGTCGGTCGTTTCCCAACAACCGGACTATGGGTTTCGACCAAAACACAATTATATTGTAAGTAAGTAATAGGTCACTTCGAAAACCAAATTTGCTTCTTTGGCTTGTTCCTACGTGTGTACGTGATTTCAAATATCCCGGTGGGCTCCTACACTTGCTACCAATGTCCGACGCTAGTATTGTGTTTTTTTGTAACATTCTTTACTTTTTTTACATCTATTTACGTCCCCCGATAAGAACCTAATTGTGTTTCCGTCCTTTTGTCGACTTTCTTGTTTAGACGGGTGGTCCCACCGCGGTCTCCCGTGAGGTAGCTAGGTAGGTAGAGGTATTTAGGTAGGGTAGGTAGAAGGAGGGGGCGAATAGGCACCATTCCCAGCACCTCCATCGCGTCTTATGAGAGGAAAAGGACCGGTGTAGTTGGTCGAGGACTGACCCCTAGGGTTCCGCGAGGGTCCGGTCGCTCTCTGCATAATCAGGAGGTGGACCAGGCATCCCAATGGGACCAGAGAAAGGTCGACACCTGCACGGACTATGAATCCCTCGCAGGGTCCACCGTAAGGATTGATCCACGGGCTTGCGGTGGAGTTGACCGAGGAAAGCTCGCGATTCCTCCTCCGCAGCTTTCCTCGAGGAGGTCTCCCTGTACACCCAGTGTTTAAGTAAAGGAGGTCACACATCCTCTTTTATGGTAAAGGACCGCGGAGTCCCACCTCTAGGTGAAATGGTTACGGATAGTCGTACGACTCTCAAACTTTGCCGCCAAGTAAGTCACACATTCTGACTGATTCGTCGTGTTGGAGACATAATTTCTTTGTCCCGGGTCCTTCTGACAATGGTGTGATGAAGGTTAATTGTAACCTGCAAAAAAAAAAAGAATTTACTTAGCTACAAACATATTATTGCAATGGAATAAGCTGTGAGTAACGTTAGGAATGTTCTCCACCCTCTATCATGAGGCTAAACTTGAATCTCATTATTCATCTAAAGATCTCACATCCCTTATAAGACGAAACAATGTCATTTTCCAACGGACGTTGTTTACAATGAGTTCGGATTTCGATGTTGTCAATAAGAGTAGTTGTTATATCACTTATCATCGCTGTCATTTGTATCAGTAAACACGTCTACCAGTAAAGCTCATATTATATCTATATACTAAAATATATACTGTAACTAGTAATATTTCACAAGAGTTTCCGACCCATTTCCACGCTTCGAATCAAACTTTACTGAAACATATGACGTCCCATCCGACACTTAAATGAGAGTCCACCTTGATTTCAGACTAACATTGGTGAACTAATCTAAAGGCTAACGGTCCGTTGTAAATGTCATAATAACCTTAGATTTGAGCATATACCAAGAAATCCAGATTAACTTAGTCCACGCATGTAGACGATGTCGCGTACCTACGAGTGTCGACGGGGGACCCACAAGACGTGACAGGATATATCGTCCACACCAATAGTCAATACGTTCCTACTTTACTGTCTGTCTCTGGCAACGATTTCTCGTAAGCAAATAAAAGGTGTCCCAATGAAGTCTTTGTCCACTATTAAAATGTTTTAGACCTTACAACCTATTTACGTAAAGTTAGTAGTAGAGTGACAAAGGTCTCTTTGGAATCTTTATGATCCGCATATGTAATTTTGGCTCAACGAGACGTAACGTTAAATAAACGACCAAAATGTTAGCCGTTCAGTCGATTACGGCAGTATAATAAAGGAGTTAAAACATTCATAAATGTTCAAACTAATCACTCCAGATTTTTGGTTGCCTTCCGACGATTTATTTATTCTTGCTATGCCCTCGCATTCTTCTCTGCGCTGTACCTTACCTTCTTTACAAAACATAGGGGATCTACAAACAGATTAGTCACAGATACAAAAAAAACGGTAATTATATTTTCACTGGTAATGCGTCTTTAGGGGAGCTTTCAGTTGTCTTTAGTGGTTCTTTTAAGTTATGTTTATTATTTTTGTTTAGTAGACACACTTATGATGCGAGACACCTCTGTAAATCTTTAGTAAAGTAAACCGTACACCTATGTTAAATGTTAAGCATAGCGAAGTTCAATATTTTAAAACATTCATGACGAAAGTGACAGAGTCTTATTTGGGAATATTTGTAAACATTGATACATATATTTTCATAAACACTATGGTCACCAGACTGGCAGTCACAGTACTGTGCTTTGATCTGAATCCAGATTGCATAGGGTTAAGGATGTTGTGTGAATTTAAAAAAAGTTTTAGCTGAGTAAAAACTAGGGACTCAAGACTCTTTGATAACACAGAAAGATTTGAGATAGGACGATAATTATTTAACTCAGTGGGATCACCAGCTTTCAAGAGGGGCGATACCAGAGCTTGCTTCCACAGAGCTGGCAGTGTGTGAGTGGACAGGGAGAGATTAAAAATATCAGTTACTGGTTGTGCTATAATCTGAGCTGCAATTTTTTAAAAGAACGGGTCGAGGCCGTCAGGCCCGGCAGACTATATTGTATGACACCGGCAGTTAATACACTTTTAAAATGCTGCAGATTATCCCAACATCACTGAAGTAAAAAAAAAACATCTCACAACAGAAAGATGACTTTAAACCAGGTCCGGGTGTTTTATTGAAGTCAACAACAAAACAGGGACAGTGAGAGATTATGCTGACACAGCGTGCTCAGTGGAGCGCTCTGATCTGGCCTGCATCCCCCCTCAGGAGACCCAGACTTACAGAAACATTGTTTGCCTTTTGCAAGAGTTCAGCATATGTTAACTTTTTAAGTGTCTAATGCTTTTCTTTGTAATCTTAAATTACTTACATAGACTGAAACACAGAGGATATATCTCTTCAGCTCTCTTGCAAAGGTCAGCCTGGACAGAACACTGTGTCTCTGGATGAGAAATGAACAAGACGTGTTAAGAGTACAATACAATGAGCAACAATTAGAGTGGTTAAAAAATGTTAAATTAAGACTTGCAGGAAATGTCATTGAGTGATGTCATTGATTGATACCCCTGTCTGATCTCCATCTTGTCCTGAAGGTCGGCTGGGAGCATATCCCCTTGAGTTGTCAAGGTAACCCTGCATGTGCTTTATGTCAGTCTGAAGCTCACACTCACCTTTAAGTGCACGGTGAACAGCAGGGAACAGGTGGTGGAGAGCAGAGAGAAATATACATAATAGTACAAATAAAATGGCTGAATATCGATGTGTGTATGGATGAGTGTAGCTTACAGGATGCAGATAGTTTACATAAAACATATATTTGCTTATTTTATATCCTACTCTACTGTTTCTATCCACAGTGAATCGCAGCAGCTCAGGTGGTGGAGAAAAGAGAAGGAAATATATCAACTGGTGAGTAAGACAAATAATATTCCAATTTTGAATCAATGATATCACATGGAGAACCAGTTTACACGACAACATTATTTTTCTAGTACTTACCTGGCGAGTGGCAGCATTCTCTGAATTGAAAAGCAAGTATTACATTTATAAAGAGAAACTTGAATTAGTGATAATATGAAGGAAACAGGAGAAGTATATGCAGTAGATTTCTTTTTAGTTTGAGTCAGACTCTCGTACTCACGTTTGTTGTCCGTGGTGTACAGCTGCGGCTCAGGAGATGGAGTCTGATAAACGTAAGGTTAGTAAAACATTTATTTGATTTATTTAAAAAGTATGGATAAGCATACTGATTGAATAAACCGATTAACAATCCAATAACACTTATTTCCTAGTTTGACATTGTAGACTTGAACCTGACACGCGTCAGAAGGAAGATCCTACCTTCTCGCCCACATCGAACAGCAGCGTTCATCTGTGAATTCCTGAACAAGTTATATTATATGAACAATTAGATATTGCATACAGTTTGTAGGTAGGTTACATGATAATACTTTCTGTGTTTTTATACTATTCCAGGATTTTCTCTACAGACAGAAGCTCATACTTATCTTTTTTGTCCTCTGAACAACATCAGCTCAGTTAGTGGCGTTAGAAAAGAGTGAAGTAAGGACAAAGACAAGTTATCTCTAAATTATTGAATTTAAAAAATAAAATATATTGTATATAGTTACTGTACCTTTTTTGGCCAAATTAAAAGGAACAGGAAGGATTGTTTGAAGTGGGGTTGTTTGAGGTATAGTTCTCCATAGTCAATGTGTTTATTTCAGTAGATGGAGGTTGGCAGGAGGAGGCAGAGTTTGAATAGGGATGTAAAGCAATGTATTGCTGTGTACCTGGGCAGCTGCATCACTTCTTAGTGAGACACTTTGGAATGAATCCAATCTAGCGAGTTTAAGTCACACAATTACATATACTAACTAACATATCGTGGAATGGTAGACCATCAGCTCCTGTGTTCTGACGGGTAAAACTGACTGTTTTGTGAATGAAGTCTTGTGGCTTTGAGGAAAGACTAGATAGTTGCTTCACTCTCCCTTTGGAAAGGGAAGGTATACTGGGTTAAATAATCTAAACATGGCATTGCTTTTTTGGTGGGCCTTTCTTTTTGGTAGCTAAAAAAATATGTTGCCGTTGTCCAGCCTCCATATAAATACTTTGCTGTTGTGCTGTAACGCCTTTCTGTGTGTTGACCACAATCTACTGTAGGTAAGACCCTGACTGTCGATCAGTACCGTACAACCCCCCTTCAATCTATCCAAAATAATGTTGACCTGTGGAGAAAAAACATTCAGGAGGTATCGTCATGAGATGCCTATTTCTTAGCAGGCTTAAATCAAATCAGATTTTTGGGAGGTTTTCTTGGTTCAATAAAGTTTCCTCATGTTAGATGTTATGTATTTTGAAGGTGTCCAGTGCATTGCCAATCAATTGGCGCGTAAAGGTGCTATGAGAGTCAAGGAAGAACATGGGGGAGACCCAAGACAGTTAGGTCACACAGCCGATGTCGGTGGGACAACACTCCCTCAAAGTGTCCTTGATAAACAAAGAGGAGGATTCTGCGGTCTCGCGCTGACGGCTGCCGACCTAGCAGCAGGACTTCTATTCACACCATCGGAGGACTGCGGGTCCATTGTTTGTTCAGTACTAAAAGGTCGAACTCCCACAATTAATTGTAATAATCATTTGACAAGTTAACTATATCATAAAGCGCTTCAAATGTTCCCTTCTGCAACATGAAAGTACCACGATATGTATCGGTCGAGTATCGTTGAGTAGTATTGGTATCGGTATCATCAAAAAGTCAACGACATGCATCCCTAGTATTGAGTAAGTATAACTGCCAGTCAAAGTCCTTCAGATGCGCCGGCCTTCTGACTGGCCTGCCTGAACTCGTTCACGGAGTGCGGGCCATCCCGTCCGGCCTCGTTTCTGCCTCTGCGCTGCTGCTCTCGTCCTGTGTTGGTTCAGGCTCACCATTCAGCTCAGCATAAGCTACTTCCCCTGAATGAAATTTGTTGTATAATGATAACCTATATTATGTAACCGATGAAATGTGACGGGATTAATGAATTTAAGATTTGTCGGTGAGTAAGGTTCTGTAAGTGTTTTTAGTGAAATTCCGTTGCGTCAACTAAGGTTTTGACTTTAACTGCGTTTAACCGTCCTTGCTCGGCTATACTTAGAAACTATAGTTTTGTTACTATGATTTTCCGACCGTAGTTGTATACCTAGGTACGCAATGCCCCATATAATTAAAAACCTCTACTCTCACAATTTTATTACATTAACGTCAATTGCGTACGCGTCTTCCGGGCGGGGTATGTAGGGTGGTCACCTCGCCGGTCCTCATCCGCCCCCATCCGATGTTCGGTATGGTTCTTTCGAATCGGGTGGTGATACGTTGAGGTTACCAGTAAATTTTGAGTTCGGTGTTAATTTCAGGCGGTTGAGCGTGGCCTCATTTGTAACGTTGTCCGTCGCCATGTCTCAACTTACATCTTGGTACAGACTTAATAAGCGGTCAGCACGGTCTTTGCAAAATAACTTTGACGAAAGCTAGTGCATGCACTAGCTGAGAGCGTTAATTTTGTAGACAAAGATAACACTAGTATATGGTACTGGACCGTTAGTCGCGTATTGTTTGCTATTCATGCGGCGGCGCAACAACGTCCTTCAGGCTGCCTCTTAATGAAAACGACACTGATATTATACTGTTGAGTGGCTATGTGTTTACTCGCACAGCGTTATGCTCATCGTGTGCATTCGACTTTCTGTTGCACATACTCACTATTCCACAGCCACCCCGCGGACGCAAACAAACTCGTGTTGCTGCGGATTAACCTAGAGCGTTCGCTTAGCGGTCGGGACTAGTGTTCTCCATTTCAGTCGGATTAAGTGTGTCGGAGTCTAGATCGAGCGCGGACAGAGATCCTGGGATCCTTCGTCGTCCAAGTCGAACAGTTCGATCGTGCTGTTAGTTACCGTAACCTCCTGCCAACCAGTAAAGAAAACTTACACACCAACTATATCTACATAGAATTAAACAAGAGAGTTTCATTCATTAGGTCTTTGCACATAGAATAACATCTAAAGATCTTCTCGGTGGACTTGGTGCGTGCAGTCTCCTTCAGTTTTAGTCGGTAATAGCCGCTTTCATATACCTTGACGGACGTGGGACTTGCACCGTGCACACCACGTGTCACACCAATACACTTTCTACCTAAGACGTCAACACTTGAGAAAATTGGTAGGTGTTGTAAACGGTGTTGGTAAAGCAGGCGATGTTCCACCAATGCGTACACGGTATATCTCATTTGGGTCGGGCGTCTGCCATAAGTTTCTTTCGGCTTAGTTTGTAACCTCCCAATGGAGGTCCTCAGTCTATTAGCTTTCTCTGTAGGATGAACTCCCCTTCCTTAGTAGTCTACTACTCGCACTTTCTGCTATGCTGTCTTCGACCTTTCCGACAACGGGTCTCTCGCTTTACACTTCAGCATTTATGGTTTCTTCGAAGTGATTGATGGAATTAGCCTTTTGAGACGCTCTCGACTATGGTGTTCTACACTGTAACCCTCACCGTCTTCGCATTACTTGTCTGAAAATTGCCTAATGTCTTGCTCTTATTGGCGTCGACTGTACGATTGTTAAATGTCCACTATTCCGCTGTCGGATTCGTACGCCCTCATTAACGTTCTTACCTGGTGGACAATCGTTATAGCGGTCATCTTGTGGACTGTCTTTCGCTGTCCGATCACGTGTATTCATCTTTCCTTGACAACGCACAGTATACCTTAACCTCCTGCTAAAGTAGTCAAATAGTATACCAGCGCGCGACCTTACATCGATGAGTCACTGCTATTCGGGAACTCTCATATATACTGTTGGATAACGAGGCTTTCTCTGTGTTGCGTACGACTACTCCTTGATGTATCGGTAATACACTCAGTTTGAAGAGCAATACAGACCGTTTTGTTGGCATACAACGACCGTCTGCGAAGCGTCCCAGTCTCGGATAGAAGTCCCGATCCTCTGTCGTTCTCA